ACCCCTACAAATCGAGCCCATTTGTAGAGGTGGCTGATAACACCAGCAGTCCTTTCAAATGGACTTGTAGGGGTGGCTCGTTTGGGCACCATTTGTACCCTACGAAAAAAGGAGGCATTGCTACAAATCGTTTTTGTAGTAGTGGTGATCCACGTAATTTGATATCACAACCAATACATACCTACCTAGCACTAACAACAAAACAAGGTCTGAACTCCAACGTGCCATAAGTTTATTAAATTTCACCACTTAGAGTAACTCTAACAGGACCTCTACTTAAGCCCCCATATTTAAATATGGAGGTTCAGGCCAAAAAAATGTTCTCCTGTAGGGCCTCAAAATTTGGGTGGGCACCCAAATCACCCCTCAAACCCCTATTCCTAGGGCTCATCCCCGCCCCCATCCGCCTATTATGCCATTTTGTCCCCACGCCTGCGGAACTGCGACACTCGATAGTGGATCCCACGCAAGGCGCCTCGAAACTCACTCCGCCCCTAGCGCAAGTGGGCCCTAGCCATCCGCCTCCCTCTGCCACCGACGAGAGTCGCTCCATCTCGTGGATCTCCTCCCCGAGCACATGCGGCGAGCTCAGCCGGTGGATCCTCCATCCCCACAAACCGCCGAGGCTCCCCTTCTTCTGGCCGGCCGTCAGTGCCTCCTCTCCCACGGCCACGATGAGGTCCTTCTTCCAAGCGTGGCGGGTCTTTGAGGCTCTTTCCCCGAGACCGCTACGCTTCTTCCTTCCTCAAGGCCTTCTTCTCCCCCGCTGGATCCTCCTTCACCATGGTCATCGAGACTCCCTCCCCATAGTCGACCGTCGAGCCTCTTCCCATGGGACGCGATGAGGTCCTCCTTCCCCGCAGGTGGGCCTCCACTACATGCTCCTTCCTCCACTCACGCCTCCTTCTTCCTCGTGGATCCTTGTACATTAAAATAGCTTAGTTGTTAAAGAACTAAGGATGACAGTGGGTCCTAATTGGTAGTGTCTATTAAAAAGGATTTGGGGGGCTTATGTTTGGAGCAGATGCAAAAGTAGGGGGCCAACATGAAAGTGCATTTGCCCCTATGTGGGTTTTGGTGTATTGATGACATCCAAATTAGGGACTAATGAGATCTTAATGTGATATATCGCAGCTTTAGTCCCTTGAAAGATTTAAAAGAGTTTATCTAAGATGAAATGGTATCCCTCAATTCTTCAAGTGCAAAAAGCGAACGAACCCAAAGCGCTATCCAAAGCCTTTTTATTTTGTTTTGGGTTTAGGTATGCCATACTATAAGAGGGATGCAAGTTTAGGTGGTCTGAGGAAGATAAAGTGCTCAAGCATAAAAGTAAAATCAAAAGAGAGACACAAAATCACCTCACAAACACTTGGACATAGTTTGTGGACTTTAGTCGAAGTTTTCGGCGTGAGCCAGAGTTCCTACTGCCTAAAGTCCCGACGCTTGGTGCCGGAAGTCCCAGCCGCTTGTTGACTTAGCCGCAGCACTGCTGGAATCTTCGCCCACGTCAAGTCCCGAGGAGAGTCGGAGTTCTGAGTGCTTTGAAGTTCTGCTCCTCCCGAAGTCCCGACACTTCACGACTTAGCCGCCACGCATCTTCGTCTGGCCTAAGTCCTAATGGGAGTCGGGAGTTTCAGGTGCCGGAAGTCCCAACGCTTTGGGACTTAGTCGCCTGGCTTTACCATGGCTATCGGAAGTCCCAACAGAAGCTGGAAGTCCCGATGACTACCAGGAGTTCCGACAATATACGAGCAAGCCCAGTGGACTGTCTGTGTGAACAGTATTTTGAGTTGAGTGAGAAGTTCCAGTGATCTGTGTCGGAACTTCCGACTCAGATTTGAATGGTTGGATTTGCCTTTGTGTATAAATAGCTATCTCCTCTCTTCTAACCCGCCATCACTCATTCATTGCTCACCAACCTTCATCCAAAATAGCTCCCAAGCATTCAAGGCTCCCTCTCTCTCTCTTTGCTCCAATCTTTGATTCCCCTAGGGTATTGAGTTAAAGGAGAGTGGATTGAGTGAGAGAATCACTTTGGCAAGCTTGAACACTTGATTTCTTCATCAAGCGGTTGGATTTGAGTATATTACTCTTGGGTTCTAGCAACCCTAGTCGGCTAGGCATCGCCCAAGAGCTTTCATCTTGTGGAAAAGCCTTGGAAAGTTTGCATTACCCTTGATTTCTTAGTGGAAAGCTCGAGACCTTTGTGGTTGCTTTGAGAGAGGCAAGGAGGTGGAAGAGACTCCGACCTTTGTGGTCTCCTCGACAATGAGGACGTAGGAGCTCCTTTGTGGGGTTGCCGCACCTTGGCATAAATTCTTCCTGTCCCCACGATTTGTTGTTGTTGTGATTTGTGCTATCATATTTGTTCTTGTTGGTTTGTCTTCCTCCCCAACTCTCCTCTTAGGGTTTGGACTCGATCTACGGAGTGGTGACCTTCCAACATCAAAGGAGCAACCCCAAAGACTTCATCTTATCGCTAGGGATTGGGGTTGTAAGATATCTTTCACTCAAAGTTCGTTTTAGCACTTGTAGTGCTATTCTCGTAGGTTTCGGAACTCCCGGCTATTTGCGTCGGAACTTCTGTCTGTCGGAAGTTTCGGCCCAAACTATGAGGACTTCCGACTATCACTGACATTTGACTTTGAGATTACATAGAAATTTTTAGATACGCCTATTCACCTTCCCTGTAGGCATTGTTTAGATCCTTTCACAACAAAAGTAGGGGGAGCACCCAAATCAGAAATAGGAGCCTTGATTTGGGTGCTCCTACTGGAGTTGCTCTCACAAACTTAAGTCATTTTAGCTTGGAGAATGAATGAGATCAACCTACTAGTCATTGTTAGAGTATATGGTTACGACAGAATATAATTAGTTTCCAAATCACCGTGTTCTATATAAAATACACAACTCCTACATTCTAGTCACCTGAAAATACGCGGGAAATTTTAGGCGACACTGTTCATCTTCTTCCTGGGTTCGAAGTTTGGGTTTCAGGGGGTTCCAATGGATATGGGCTTAGAAAGAAAGGGCTTAGGGAGGTAGGTATGGAGGTGTCATCGTGTGTTCTGGACAACCGGATGGCCGAGCCAGGGTGGGGGCAAGGGCACGATGAGCTTTAGCGCTAGCTCTGAGGTTAGCGGCAAGGGGGGGGGTGGCACAAGGCGGACCTAGTGGTAGGGATGCCGCCAAGGATGGGAGGAGGTCATGGTAGGCGGGGAGCGTGGATCGGAGTGCACGGAACTTGGCAAAGCAAAGAGTTGAGAGGTTGAAGATGACCCCGTTGCCGCAAGATGCTGATCCGATGGTTCAGATCGGTCGCCTTAAATTTTGTAAAAAACAATAGCATGTATTATAGCAAGACCTAACTAATTATTCTGCTACAGGTTTGGATTTGTAGGGAATTGCTTGTTCACCCCTCCCCCTCTAGGAAACACCTTAGTTCTCATGTACAGTGCATTGGCTTCATATCCACTACCCCAGCCAGTTTTTCCGTGACGGCCACAACTGTCAGGGAAAACGACAAAATCCGTGGAAGACTATCCGTGACAGTAACCGTCAGGGTTGAGCCGTCAAGGATAGACTGACAGGGAAAGTGTACTTTTCTTGACGGAAAACCATCAGTAACTATTCCCTGACGGCTTAAACCATCAGGAAAGACATAGTCTGACAGTTGCTGGACACCCCGTCAGGAACTAGTTCCTGTCGGCTAGAAAACCATCAGGGATGCTTCCAACTTCCACGTCGATTACTTTACCGTCAGGATATATTCAAACAATCCATGTCGGAGAGTAACCCGTCTGGGAAAAAAATTGTCTTCCCTGTCAGTTACATACCGTCAGGGTAGCTCTGATAGGAAATGATCTGCCTACCAATTTGCACATTCAAAAATTTTAGTTTATTTGAGCCATTAGAATTACTGTTAACAGCAGCTAATTTAACCACTCAATGCAATAATATTATATAGCAAGTCATTCAACCATTCATCCATACTCAAGTAATATAAATATTACAGATGGTCTTAAAACATCATTCAAGTTGTTCATAACAAATACAACTCAATCCAAAGCTAAATTATAGTTACTGCCAGCTAGTTAGCCTTTTAGTTAGGTACCTAACAACTAGCACAATTTGAAGTATGGTTCCTAGTTAGATACATAACAGCCACAGGTTCAAATGGCAGTTTCCTAACAGGCGCCTATGAAGGCAATATCTAGCTCCCAACACAACTTGTTGCTACACAAACATACATGCCTTCAATATGCAATCTGGCACCTATTGCTTCAAGATGACATGCCTTGACCCTTCAGGAGGCCATCTGCTGGTAGCTAGCAATCTGCTGGTACCATAATGCAGCTTTGATGGCAATATGTAGTTGTTTTTGCACAAGGATGCATGCGGTGCATAGACAATATGTAGCTGCTACTTCACAACTAGCAGTCTTGCACACATGCCTTGAATAGCAGTATGCAGAATCTACATTTGTTGTGTGATGACCAAAATACCTCTATGCACAACACATGCCCTTCCAACTTGCTAGTAGTAGCCATACCAGTAGTCCGATGAAGAAAAGACTACGCCCACAAAATATTTCCTGCCATCACACAAATCGGCTATCCTCATTTGTCCAAAGTTGGTCAAGCATGAGAGGATCCATCTATAGCCCTCCGTGGATGTTGCCATAACCTCGTAGTCCGATGAGCAAAAGACTACAGCTCCACTAAATACTTCCCCGCCATCATACAAATCAATGGCCATCACCATTGTTCAAAGTTGGTTGAAGCATGAGAGGATCCATCTATAGCTCCTCCCTATATCCAAAACAAAATAAATATGACCATTCATGAGAATATGTAGACCATATAAATTTCAGAAATAATTAACTATGAAAGGAACATATAGATCACAAAAAACATATATTTAAAGTATGACAATGTGATAACTTAATATGGATCATGAATATAAATGCCCATATGTACCAAATAAAGGCTAGAAACATTTCACTATGAAAGGAACATACAAATCACAAAAAAACATGATTATTTAGTTGGATAAGTGAAAACAGTTTAAGATTTAATCTTACCATCTCATTTTCTTCTTCCTGAAGCAGGTCAGGTGGTATCTCTATCTGTACGGTTAATAATGAGCTACAAGTGAAGAATTACCAACATGATTAGTTTTTTTTATGTTCAATTGCAGACAGATAGTGCGCCAAAACAAAATTATACCTCAAGTACACGACCATTACCCTTCACATCTCGAGTCAATGTGGCATTTTGTTGAGTTAAGCGATCAACGGTTGCAACTGACTCCTCATATCTTGCCATCAGATTTTGAAAAGCCCTTGAGGTTGCTGGCCTTCTCCCACTTGCCTTAGCAGCATCAATTATTGTACCCTTCTTGACAGCACCATCTCCTATTGCAAGACGACCATGGGGCAAGCCACGACCAATATTATATGCAATTTGACCATCAAAAGGTTGCTCTTGCCGCCTTCTCGGATACTTTTCTTGCAATGCTTCATTGTAGTCATCCTAGAAATAACAACAATTATTAGTCACCAACGATATATATATCCGGCTTGTGTTCTTTGCCATATTTGTCTCACATCAACCAGTCACAGCACACCGAGCCTTAACCTCCTCTCCGAGCTAAGTACCTAGGAGGCCATCTCACACTACCTTGCCCTTGCGAAAAGCATTTTCTTGACTCGAAAGGATGGTCTCATCGAAGAAACCGCCTATGGTAGTCAAACCAGTAGCCTTACAAAATTTTACGTAATTGATATGCATTAGAATCACACATGCATTGTGGACATGCAAAAATCCCATGGGTGCTCCATCCAGCAAACATGCCATATGTAGGAAAATCATGTATAGACCATAAGTATGATGCTTTCATTTTAAACCTTCGCTTCACTGAAGCATCCCATGTCCATATCCCATCCCATAGCTCTATCAATTCATCTACCAAAGGTTGGAGCAAGATACTTAGGTTTTTTCCAGGGTGTTCTGGTCCAGGGATGACCATAGCAAGGAATATATACTCAGGCTTCATACAAACACCAGGTGGAAGATTATAGGGAACCCAAAATACTGGCCAACAAGTAAGAGGTGCATTCAATTTATATGGTGTGAACCCATCAGTTGCAATACCAAGTCTTACATTCCTAGCATCTTCTGCAAAGTTTGGGAAATCAGCATCACATTGCTTCCATGCCTCTCCATGACATGGATGCAACATTTTAGTAGAGCTTGCTAGATTTTCTTTGTGTGAATGCATGAGTTTTGCTATGCCCTCATGTGCATATAATCTTTGTAACCTATCTGTAATGGGCAGGTAGTGCAACACTTTACGAGGAACCTTATTTGATCCATCCTTCTAGCGAGAGGTACCGCATATGTCACACTTATCCTTATCCTTGTTATCTTTGTAGTACAACATGCGCTTTTATCATAGACATCAATTTTATGGTATGGCATACCAAGGCCCTCTAGCAGCTTTCTAGACCGGTAGTAGTTGTTAGGAATCTTAGAATTAGGAGGAAGGTGTTCATGCATCAGCTCCATATAATCATCATAACATGCTACTGAAAGATTGTACTGTGATTTAATAATGGCCAATAGACGAGCAACAACAGAGAGACTAGAATGCAAGGTTTGCTCATGTACTTACTCATTTGCACTAACAACCATTCTATAGAAGGCTTCGGCAAAACTAGTTGGTGTTTCATCATCTAATGGTGGATGTTCACCACCTAAGTCAACTAACATAGCATCCATCCGATCTGCCTCACCAAATCCTCATGTTCTACCTCAGAACCAATCTCAAGGTTCTGTTTTCCCCGCCTCTCACCATGTGCTGTCCAAGTTTGGTAATTTTCCTTGAACCCATTGTGGCACAAATGTAACTCTATCCTAGGCCTTTTATGCCTGAAAAAATTCTGGCATATGGAACAAGGGCACCTAATTGTATCAGACTCAACTAATTCAGGGATTGAGAAGGCATGATCCAAAAACTCTTTTGTTTTGTCAACCCATTCATTTGATAGCCTACCACGCTTCCAACCACTATACATCCTTCCACGATCTGTCATATCTTATCTGCCAACTTGAGTCAGAAGATAGGAGCTAACCAGTAGCTAGCAGAGTCATAGTAGTTGTGCAAGACTTCGATGCCACTCACCTGACAGTAATCCAAATAAAGCAAAGAACAAAAACCAAACCAGATCACAAAGGAGGAACCTATTACCAATTTAGACATAACACAAATTACTTCACTCAAACAAAATAAAAATTCATATACAGCTAGTAATAGAACACTAAAAGACATAATAACAAATTTCTATACAGCTAGTACACCATAACTAGTGAATCACAATGCAAAAATAGAGCAACAAAAGCAAAATTTGTCACTAAAATTTGTGTTATATCTAAATTTGCGCAAAATAGAGCAGATCACAACATCTAGCAACCAAATAGCAACTAATTCACCACAACAAGGCTATGATAAATGAAGAACATATATGCTAGATAATAATTCGTGTAGGGAGAAAGGAAACCAGGAAGGAGAGACAAGGCGTGGTCTGACCTTGCTGTTTGACAGTGACAAGAGAGTTCTACCAGATGGGGGTGCCAGAGTTGGTAGACCAGGTTGCTCCCGCTAGACGTCCGCACAACGCAAGAGCAAAGAAGCCCCGAAGCGAGCAGTCGAAATGGGAGACAAATGAGATGAGAGCATCAATCAACAAGGGTGGAAGCAACTTAATTACAAGATGCAAAATTGATTTTCGATCTAAACAGGACAAAATCGCTGGGAAAGAAATCGAAATCAAGTCGCAGCACCTTGGGGCCTCGAAGGAGCTACTACAGGAGGCTTGGTCGCTTGTTGTTGTTGAGGCCGATGGCGCAGGGATGGGGCAGCAGCGGCGCTGCTGGTGCTCGGGTGCCACACCGTCGCTAGGGCGGTGGCGGCCGTTGGAGGCAGGTGCGGTGGGGGGCAATGGCGTGGTGGCTAGGCTGCGTACGACGCGGGTGGCTGGGCGGGGCGGGGCATAGCTAGCAGGGTGGCAGCGGTGCTGGAGACCGGCAGCGGCCTGCATGACTGCGCCTGTGGTTGTGCGTGAGGAGAGAGAATTTGGGGGAGGGGAGGAGTAGCAGATACGGTCACGGGAGTCAAAGCTGCCAGGACGCTGGGCGCGTGGCCAAATAATTCGCTCCATCCGCTCTCTCCGTTGGTGGGCCAGACGGGTCCGCGGCAGCGCACGCAACCCATTTCTGGGCGCGAAAGACACCAGGAGAGCACGTGCGAGTGCAGTTGGTGCGTGCGAAAAGCACCAGATTAGCTTCCTGACGGTGCCCCACCGACGGGAGACATCTCTCCAAACAGTTTCGCTGCCACACGAGGGATACTTCTTTGCTGCTGACGGAGGACGCGGGGCCGAAGGGAAAGGGTTGGACCGATGCGAGAAAACGCAGCTGGGGTAGTAATCTTATTCTTCTTGTCTTTTTCACCAGGCATAATATTAATGGGAGTTAGTAGTACTATCGGCTGTGTTCGACTGCTTATATAAGCCGTACAAATCAGCACAAGCGGCTTATAGACTAGCCGAACAATGCCATCTACGCCCTTGAGGCCATATTGTAAACATCATTATAAGTGGTGTTTCGCTGAGTCAAGTTGATTTTGTCCATGCATTTCTTTCATTGGTGCCTTGGGCCTATAACTGCCTCCTCCGTTGTGACGTCCATAACACACCATCTCCCGACTACATCCTGGAAACAAAAGGGTCAGCATCTGTTTGAGCGAACTCGTCAGCTTTGACGGAGGTATGATCATCCAATGTTGATCATGCTACAACTATGGAGATGTTAGAGTAAGTCACAAGAACTTAAAGGGCATGATTATTATGGTAGGATATGATTAGCTTCGACCTCTATCACAAAGATTGTTTAAGAGCGAAATCTCCTGCTTTATATTGATTTGTCCACATGGCTATACAAATCCATAATCACAGTACATTCGTCTTTTCAAATAATAAATCTCATAAATATCTACTGCTCTCTGTTTGAAAAACAGGTAACGCTACTTTTGTTCAAGTCAAACTATTGTAAGTTGACCAGGTTTAAAGAGAATATATTATCAATGTTTGTGACACCAAATAGGTAACTATGTAAAACAGATTTTATGCGAATCCAACGATACTTGTTTGGTAATATATGTATATTATAGACTTGATCAAACTTAAGATAGCTTGACTTTAGAATAATCAATGTTTTTTTTTGGATGGAAGGAGTACTAGATACAAAATAATAACTATAGGAATGTGCAATACATTTGTAATTAAAAAAAATTCTAAACTCTAATAGATATAAAACAAAAGGGTGTTTATATGTTTTATATAATTAAGAGACAATGCAAAGCACGAGGTTCTTAATCAATGTGTGACATTTGAGTTGTGAATGAACCAAATATATGTGAAGCCTTTGAAGGAATACTTCTAGAATTGAAAAGCCCGTGTGGAACTTCATATATAAAAGCCTCATTTTTGAAAGACCATATAAACAAACTAGGAAACCTGAGATAAGCTAAAGGCGACAAATAAAACGCTGCCTTAATAATGACAATGTGACGCACATGGACCGGCGCATCAACCCTTTTTTTATTATCTCAATTCAAATTCGATCTGGTGAAAAGCATCTTTTCTCTTTTTTGGAATTGACTACTCTATTTCTAGTTGTCACGTGTAGAAGATTAACACCAAACCCTGCTGGAACGCGGACTAAGGAAAGGCGATGACACCAAACCCTACAAAGCTTTGCACACGCTCAATGATAAAATGATCGGTGACTTCTTTTCATGGAAGAAACTTGACTTTCTTCCATGAAAATTTCACACCGAACTCAGATTTTGAACATGCATGGTGTAGTTAAAAGTACAGCTAGCTAGCTAGCCTTACTGTACAAAAAGGGAGTGTCTTCGTCATACTAATATTTCCATCGAATTAATATGAAAGGAGCAGTTCCAATGAAAACGGTGCTGTGGGACATCAACTCAAGATCCCACGAGCTGTAATGCTCGAGGCCGAATAGCAAAGCAACACGGCTATGGCCCATGGACATGTTCATTCATGTTGTATTGATATCCCGGCTAGATCTGCAGCATACTCCCTCCATTTAGTCAGTCAACAGGGTTACAGGTCCAGAACATCCGTTTTGCTCCGGTTGAAATGTCGACATGTCACTCATATCTGAGCACGAACACAGCAGGTGCACCGGCCCTGAGCGTCTGATCAACAGCGCCCGAAGCGCCGGCCTCAAAGGCTGAAACCTGTGGCTCGCGGGCGCCGTCCCACGTCTCCACGTCGGGAGATTAGGTGGTGTGCTGTACGTAGTACGTTGAAAGATATAGAGTAGTTTCAGCTTATTCTGCAGTATTCGGAGTCCAGTCCTGTCTCATCTGGTGTTGCGTTTCCGATGGCCGGTGATCTCAGATTCCCAGGTCGGGTTATCCTCACACTCCCCTCCCAACAAAAACCGGCTTCTCCTCGTTTCTATTCATCAACACAAATGACCAAGCCTCAGAGAAAAATGTTGGAAAAGAACTGGGCTCTAAATATCGAAGTAACATACACCACAACTAGCCTCGTTAGCCTATCGAACTCTTAGAATCTTACAAATCATTGATGTCTATTTTGGTGGATTCAATTTGGGCTTTGCCCATTTTTAATTCAATTAAATCAAATAAACTTTAAGGCTCATGTTGAATGCTAGGTTGATGGTTTCTACGGCTGTCGGGTATCGATATTAGGGATACCTAAAGCAAGAAAGAAGGCCCACGCAGACTTCCCCGGATGGCTCGAGACATTAAAAGGTCTCGCTCGACCCTCAAGGCTGCGGGGCTTCGCCTCGCCTGACCACAAGGCCGCTGGGCTCCGCCTCGCCTCGACCCTAAGGACGCTGGTTCCATCTCGCCCGACCCCTTGGGTGCGGGCTTTGTCTCGCCCGACCCCAAGGACACGGTTTCGCTCTCGCCTAACCCTAAGGACACAAGTTCCGTCTCGCCCAACTCCTTGGGTGCAGTTCGCCTCGCCCAACCCCAAGGACGCGGGTTTCAGATCGCTCGACCTCGAGGACGCTGGCTCTGCCTCGCCTAAGGTCATGGGCTCGCCTCGCCGACCTCGAGGACGTGGTTTCCGCTCGGCCCAACGGGGACCCATACCGCCGCCAACCACACCAAGTCCAAGCGTATGGGCCTCGATCAAAACTCTAACACCGGAAAGAGGTCGGCACGCCGATGTAACCCGTGGCCATGACGGGCCATACCGGGATTCACATTAAGAATAAAGGTTTCGACGTGCGTGTGCGTGTTTCGCTTAATACTCGAACGAACGCCGACATGCGCACGCTGGGCTCACTACTACATCCGCCGGACGGAGTGGAATGCCATGACCGGCAGATGACGCCACAAGAAGGCGCTAGTGACGAAACAGGCCACGACAGGAGCCATCCCTATTGACATCTACAAGATTAGCGGGACCCACATGAAGGACAAGAAGGACCCGCCACCCTAGAAGCCTTCTTCTCTCTCTCGTTCTTCTCCTTTTCCTCCTCTCAGAATCCGCGATTTCCTTCGCCTATAAAAGGGGAAGCAGGCGCCCCATGCTAGGGGATCTGAACACAAGAGCACGACACGAGCACATGGCTTCAAGCAAGCAGCAGCTCTCAAAGACTGCTTACTCCTTCCACCGTAGACTTGAGAACCTCTCCTCTCTCACTGCTTGTAACCCCTCATCAAAACCAAGTGCCGGTGAACACGAAAAGAAGAAGAATCGACATAGGGATATTCCGCCTCGACTAGTATAAACCCTTGTGTCCTCCGAGCACACCATCCAA